AAGTATATAATAAGAATCTATATTTTATGGTGTTGGGGGAGAATCAGAAAATACAGTGGTCTTCGGGTGTTTTTTTTTTTTTATTGCATTTGTATTAACACTGTTCTTACGGGTCTTGTTGGTAATTCCCTCATTGGCAATACTTAATTAGGCTGCTTCACTCGTAAAAGTAGGAACCATTTTGGTGAGGTGGGGATGATTGTGTAGTTTAGCATGCTTTAAGCTTTTCTTAAGCCACAACATTTGAGAAAATAAAAAAAAATATTGATTTTTTTTATCTCTATCTGTAAAAGGCAGGATGTGTGTGTGTGTGTGTGTGTGTGTGTGTGTGTGTGTGTGTGTGTGTGTGTGTGTGTGACGAATGCACGGCCGCAATTTTCGACGGATTTGCACCAAAATTTACATGCACATGCTCCAAGTTAGCGGGAAGGTCAAGACCGATTTTGCATTTCCCAACTCCCATCGATACTGGAAATAATCGATTTTTTTCATGCTTCTACGGCAGTTTTCGTGTAGTTTGAGGTCATTTTCTACTGGCCAGAGTGGGAGCCTATAGCTGGCTGACACGAATAGGCAGGAAGATTCTATTGGCCAGCGTGAGAGACAACAGCTAACTGACACGAATGTTAACTAGCATGCTAGCATGCAAAAAAAAAATCGATAGCTGTATTCGTCACAAGTGGGAAAAATTTAAATCTGCATGGCACTTTACTCCAATTGGCTCATTCGCTTGCTTAAACTCAACGTTGATTCTGATTCCGCAGAACTGGGTTGGGTGTGAAAAAGTATTTGTCGTTAACATTCTTTTTTCATTCGGTTTTTCCAGTTACGAGTGCTTTTTTAAAGCTGATCATTTTGTGTTCATTTTGTTTTTTTCGCCCCTTCTGTTTGCCTAGGAGTTCTTGATAGGCACCAGAGGCGATGCAATACAATTTGCCCTGTCCTGGCATCTCGTCTACAGTCACTCTCTCACAGACGCGCCGTCGCCTCACCCTTTTTCGCAACAGATTTAATGTTTAGTATAGAGCTTAGAAAAAATCGCAATGTGAGATAGGCAAGAAGTAAGGCATTTAGCAACATCAGCACGGCAAAGGGAACTCCTTTAAAGGAAAGGAAGGGCAAAAATATTTTAAGTCAAGTGATAGCGATTGCTGTATGAGTCGTACGATTTTTTAATCAAGCACGGGCAACGCCGGGCCATGCTAGTCGATTTATAAAGTTGGTCTTTTTTATAATATCGAAGCAAAGTCAAATCAATCCTTGACTTTTATTGGACCTGGCTACTTTTGCATACGATAACATTTGTTTTAGGGTGCGGTTTAAAAATATTCTAAATAAAGAACAAACGCATATATACATTTTTAATTAAATAACAAAAAATTACATAAATTAATAAAATGATGCATCCGTTTCATTTAAGATGGGGTAAAATCACTATGAAAGTGTAAAAGTGCATTTTCATAATAAAAATAACAGTAATACATTTTTGGAAAAAAATACCAGTAATAAATTTATGGAAATGAAATTACTAATGTTCCCAAGAAAATTAAATTTTAGCATTAAATGACCCATAAGTGGTTGATATGCCACTAAACAAACAAACAAACAAGCAAGCCTTTCATTTAAGTTAAATAATTATTGACCTCAAATTTTTGTGTATGTGAAAATATCTAATACAACCAAATGTTTTAAAAAACTTTAAAAAGTTAAAATAGAGTAAAATAAGTTTAAATAATTGAGAATATTAACAAAATATGTTGATGGCTATAATGTTAGCACATTTTCAAATTTGACTCTAAGTGACTCAGCCTAAGGCCAATAACCATGAAAAAATCAAGAATCGATTCGACACTTATCAATACAGGATACCCCTTCTAAATCGATAAAAAAAATCAATATTTTTGTTTTTGACAGTTACCGCCTCCTAAAGAACTTGTACAAGATGTTAATCTACAAAAATTCTTTCAAAAATAATTTTTCCTATTTTTTACGTGTGTAGTCTATTTAACTAAAATCGCCCTCATACCTGATAATTGGCATACAACTTGCTGGTGTCATAGTTGATATCCAGGGAGAAGCCATTTTAATAACACAAAATGTTTTTTCTCTTGGTTGAAGATGGTGCAACCTAGCAGATATTCTTCCCCCGTTCCTAATCTTAAACCCAAAGACATTTTATATTTCTTCAAGATGTTTGTCAGATAGTGTCATGAAAACCTCATGGCTTTTGTTTCTTTGACCGTGAGGAAGTTGTCGTTTTAGTGTTATCGATACATATGTAAACAGAACTGAAAAATGTTAAAATTTGACACACTGCCTAATATCACATTAGGTCGCTTTCCATTTATAAACATGGAGTATTGCTGCCATATATGGTCTGGAGCCCCTTCTGTTTGCCTCGGGGTTCTTGATAAGATCCAGAGACGGATATGCAATATAATTGGCCCTGTTCTGGCATCTCGTCTACAGTCGCTCTCTCACAGACGCGCCGTCGCCTCTC